GGTCAAACAAGTGGCATATGCTGATGACCTCACAGGAGCAGGAAAAGTGGAGGACATCAAAAAGTGGTGGGACCTGGTAACATCGCGAGGTCCACATATAGGGTACCACCCTAACGCCAGCAAATCCTTCCTCATCGTGAAGCCAGATCATTATGATCGGGCTGTGGAGGTTTTCGGCGAAAGTGAGGTCAAAATAACTAAGGACGGCTAAAGACATCTAGGCGCAGTAATTGGCACTAAGGACTTCAAGACCCAGTACGTAGGGGGAAAAGTGAATGAGTGGGTTAGCGAAATCCATGCTCTATCGGAGATTGCTAACACAGAGCCACATGCGGCCTTTGCAGCATTCACACATGGAGTCAAGCATCGTTGGAACTACCTGATGCGTACCATCCCTGAGATCCGACCCCTCCTCCTCCACCCTTTGGAAGAAGCAATCGGTGTCAAGTTCATTCCCAAACTAGTGAAACACCACGACTTAACCCTAGTAGAAAGAACACTTCTTGCACTTCCACCAAGATTGGGAGGGATGGGACTAACTAATCCAGAGGAGATCGCTGACTCTGAACATCAAAATTCACTTAAGCTCACGGCAGCCCTCACTGACCTCATAATAGCCCAGAATGCAACAGGGGAAGTGGACACCAGCGAAGTTAATAAGATCCGTAGGTCCATTACAACAGATCAGCAGCACTGCCAAAATGACATGTTGCAGCAACTATTGCTGCTGGTTCCAGAAAATTTGACAAAAAAAGTAGCTATAGCGCAGGAGGTGGGCGCCTCGAACTGGTTAACTACGTTACCGATAAGGGCAAATGGTTTCAGCCTTAACAAACAAGAATTTACAGATGCCATTGCTCTAAGGTACGGTTGGCCAGTAGATGGTTTGCCCTCCCAATGCGTGTGTGGCTATTCCTATGATGGCGATCACGCCATGGTTTGCAAGAAGGGGGGCTTCATATGCATGAGGCATGACGAGGTAAGGGCTCTCACAGCAAATATGTTGAAGGAAATCTGCCGGGACGTCATGGTAGAACCGACCCTCCTTCCACTGGATGGCGAGATCTTCCAACACAGGACTTCAAACACATCTAACGAAGCCCGTGTGGACGTCAGTGCTCGAGGATTCTGGACGCGGGGACAGCGAGCTTTCTTCGACATCAGGATTTTTGATCCCATGGCCGTTTGTCACCGTAACCTAGCTCTCGATGCTGCGCATAGGAGGAACGAGAACGACAAGAGAAGGGCATATGGGGAGAGAATTCAAAATGTTGATCAAGGCAGCTTCACTCCTCTCGTGTTCACAACCTCTGGTGGGATGGGCCCAAGTGTAAGATGTTTCTACACCAGACTCGCGGAGGTGATCTCCGAACAGAAGCAGCAGCCCAGAAGTTATGTCACAGCCTGGATGAGATGTCGACTGTCATTCTCTCTCCTTCGGTCGGCTTTGCTCTGCCTCAGGGGAACGAGAGCTTCTGCCCCTACTCCGACAACTGCTGCAGATATCGACTATGAGGCTACAGTCACTGAATGCCGCATGGATCTGCGGCTCAACTAATTTAACACAGATAGGATAGTTTCTTATGTATTAGGATATTTAATATTAAGGTAAATAAATGGTGGCGAAGGGCGTAATATCAGATATCGATATCAATGTTTTTTTTTTAAATTAACAGCAGTAGCAGTATATAGTAGCAATATTAACAGCAGTAATATATAATAGCAGTAGCACATAGTTAAGTATAATATATAGCAGTAGTAGCAATAGCAGCAGGCAGTAGCAGCAGTTGTTACAGCAATAGCAGCAGTAGCAGTAGCAGTAGTAGCAGTACTAGCAGCAGTAGCAGTAGCAGTTGTTATAGTAACATAGCAGCAGCAGCAGTGAGTAGTAGCAGTAGTAGCACATAGCAGCAGCAGTTGCTGGCAGTAACAGGTGCATATCAGATAGCTGATATCAATGGCCTTAAGTAGTAATAGCAGTAGTAGCAGTAGTAGTAGTGCATCAAAAAGTGGTGGGACCTGGTAACATCGCGAGGTCCACATATAGGGAACCACCCAAACGCCAGCAAGTCCTTCCTCATCGTGAAGCCAGAACATTATGAACGGGCATTGGAGGTTTTTGGCGAAGTGGAGTCAAAATAACTAAGGACGGCCAAAGACATCTAGGCGCAGTAATTGGCACTACCGACTTCAAGACCGAGTACGTAGCGGGAAAGGTGAATGAGTGGGTTAGCGAAATCCAAGCTCTGTCTGAGATTGCTAACACAGAGCCACATGCGGCCTTTGCAGCATTCACCCATGGAGTCAAGCATCGTTGGAACTACCTGATGCGTACTATCACTGAGATCGGACCCCTCCTCCACCCTCTGGAAGAAGCTATCAGTGTCAAGTTCATTCCCAAACTAGTGAAACACCCTGACTTAACCCCAGCAGAAAGAACACTTCTTGCACTTCCACCAAGACTGGGAGGGATGGGACTAACTAATCCAGAGGAGATTGCTGACACTGAACATCAAAATTCACTTAAGCTCACGGCAGCCCTCACTGACCACATAATAGCCCAGAATGCAAAAGGGGAAGTGGACACCAGCGAAGTAAATAAGATCCGTAGGTCCATTACAACAGATCGGCAGCACTGCCAAAATAATATGTTGCAGCAACTATTGCTGCAGGTTCCAGAAAATTTGACAAAAAAAGTAGCTATAGCGCAGGAGGTGGGCGCCTCGAACTGGTTAACTACGTTACCGATAAGGGTAAATGGTTTCAGCCTTAACAAACAAGAATTTACAGATGCCATTGCTCTAAGGTACGGTTGGCCAGTAGATGGTTTGCCCTCCCAATGCGTGTGTGGCTCTTCCTATGATGGCGATCACGCCATGGTCTGCAAGAAGGGGGGCTTCATATGCATGAGGCATGACGAGGTAAGGGATCTCACAGCAAATATGTTGAAGGAAATCTGCCGGGACGTCATGGTAGAACTGACCCTCCTTCCACTGGATGGCGAGATCTTCCAACACAGGACTTCAAACACATCTAACGAAGCCCGTGTGGACGTCAGTGCTCGAGGATTCTGGACGTGGGGACAGCGAGCTTTCTTCGACATCAGGATTTTTGATCCCATGACCGCTTGTCACCGTAACCTAGCTCTCGATGCTGCACATAGGAGGAACGAGAACGACAAGAGAAGGGCATATGGGGAGAGAATTCAAAATGTTGATCAAGGCAGCTTCACTCCTCTAGTGTTCACAACCTCTGGTGGGATGGGCCCAAGTGCAAGATGTTTCTACGCCAGACTCGCGGAGTTGATCTCCGAACAGAAGCAGCAGCCCAGAAGTTATGTTACAGCCTGGATGAGATGTCGACTGTCTTTCTCTCTCCTTCAGTCGGCTTTGCTCTGCCTCAGGGGAACGAGAGCTTCTGCCCCAACTCCGACAACTGCTGCAGATATTGACTACGAGGCTACTGTCACTGAATGCCGCATAGATCTACGGCTCAACTAATTTAGCACAGATAGGATAGCTTCTTATGTATTAGGATATTTAATATTAAGGTAATTAAATGGTGGCGAAGGTGTGGCTATTGGGGGAGGCTGGAGGCCATTAAACAAAAAAAGTAGTAGTAGTAGTAGTAGTAATAGCATCGTTGGAACTACCTGATGCGTACCATCCCTGAGATCGGACTCCTCCTCCACCCTTTGGAAGAAGCAATCAGTGTCAAGTTCATTCCCAAACTAGTGAAACACCCTGACTTAACCCTAGCAGAAAGAACACTTCTTGCACTTCCACCAAGACTGGGAGGGATGGGACTAACTAATCCAGAGGAGATTGCTGACTCTGAACATCAAAATTCACTTAAGCTCACGGCAGCCCTCACTGACCACATAATAGCCCAGAATGCAACAGGGAAGTGGACACCAGCGAAGTAAATAAGATCCGTAGGTCCATTACAACAGATCGGCAGCACTGCCAAAATGACATGTTGCAGCAACTATTGCTGCAGGCTCCAGAAAATTTGACAAAAAAAGTAGCTATAGCGCAGGAGGTGGGCGCCTCGAACTGGTTAACTACGTTACCGATAAGGGCAAATGGTTTCAGCCTTAACAAACAAGAATTTACAGATGCCATTGCTCTAAGGTACGGTTGGCCAGTAGATGGTTTGCCCTCCCAATGCGTGTGTGGCTCTTCCTATGATAGCGATCACGCCATGGTCTGCAAGAAGGGGGGCTTCATATGCATGAGGCATGACGAGGTAAGGGATCTCACAGCAAACATGTTGAAGGAAATCTGTCGGGACGTCATGGTAGAACCGACCCTCCTTCCACTGGATGGCGAGATCTTCCAACACAGGACTTCAAACACATCTAACGAAGCCCGTGTGGACGTCAGTGCTCGAGGATTCTGGACGCGGGGACAGCGAGCTTTCTTCGACATCAGGATTTTTTATCCCATGGCCGTTTGTCACCGTAACCTAGCTCTCGATGCTGCACATAGGAGGAACGAGAACGACAAGAGAAGGGCATATGGGAGAGAATTCAAAATGTTGATCAAGGCAGCTTCACTCCTCTAGTGTTCACAACCTCTGGTGGGATGGGCCCAAGTGCAAGATGTTTCTACGCCAGACTCGCGGAGTTGATCTCCGAACAGAAGCAGCAGCCCAGAAGTTATGTTACAGCCTGGATGAGATGTCGACTGTCCTTCTCTCGCCTTCGGTCGGCTTTGCTCTGCCTCAGGGGAACGAGAGCTTCTGCCCCTACTCGGACAACTGCTGCAGATATTGACTATGAGGCTACAGTCACTGAATGCAGCATAGATCTGCAGCTCAACTAATTTAACACAGATAGGATAGCTTCTTATGTATTAGGATATTTAATATTAAGGTAAATAAATGGTGGCGAAGGTGTGGCTATTGGGGGAGGCTGGAGGCCACGTTAAAAAAAAAAAAAAAGTAGTAATAGTGGTGGTGGTAATAGCAGTAGTCGTAGTAGTAGTGTCGAGACTCACCTGAACGCTACAGTCGATGCAGGCGAGGGTGTCCATGGCAGCGACCAATACATCCACATTATCGTTGGCGAAGCAGGACCTGAGAGATGCCACGTAGTCCTGAGGCCGACAAGTAAACCCAGCCACACCCCGCAGCAACCTCACAGCCTGCAACACAACTCAACACCTGGCATAGTCTGCAACACACACTCAACACCTGCCATAGTCTGCAACATCTCACAGTCTGCAACACACACTCAATATCTGTCACAGTTTGCAACACACACTCAATATCTGTCACAGTTTGCAACACACACTCAACACTTGTCACAGTTTGCAACACCCCACAGCCTGCAACACACACTCAACACCTGTCATAGTCTGCAACACACATTCATCACTTCATAGTCTGCAATACAGACACACACACACACACACATATATATATATATATATATATATATATATATATATATATATATATATATATATATATATATATATATATATATATATATATATATATATATCATTAGTCCCAATATACGCGGACTTTGAACATATAATCAACGACCTGACCAGCCAGGAATCGAACCCTCGACCAGTAGGTCGAGGTTCATTCATAACTGAATTATTCTATATATATATATATATATATATATATATATATATATATATATATATATATATATATATATATATATATATATATATATTGATAAAATCACACTTTAGCTTTCGTCTTTATTCAAGACATTTTCAGAGGCAACTGAATTACATAGACAGAGAGAGGCTTAAGCACATGAGGACAGTGCTGTCTTTTTTTTTAGGGGGGATCGATTGTAAGTAATATTCAGAAATTGTAATGCGATATTTAGAGACGTTAGAACAAAACTGACCGATCTGCCGAACAGGGAAACATAAGTAGTCCAGGCTGAAACACTCATGCCTCGTGGCGAGTTAAAACAAATCCTCCAAGCAATGCCCTCAGTCAGGAGGTGGACGCATTTTGAACTAGGCCCATAGAAATTTAAATGTACTTCATCGAATTAACGTAGACATGATTCATGAAGTTAAGGGACAATTATAAAATTGAAAGTTATTGTGGATAGTTTCCCAGTTTTAAATATGTTATGTGTGTCCCAAAGAAAGTATTAGAAATAGGCGAAAGATGACGTCATGGGGGGGGGGCAGGCGAGCGCCCTGAGGGATGCAGGCGTTGACCGAGCCTCAGTAAGTCAAGGTCACTGACCCAGACAGACGTCTGTATATGCGTTCCGCCAAGGAAAACGACCACGTGGCCTTGTCCCTTCCCGCGTGTTCATCCTTGTTGCAAGCATTGTAAGTCCTCTATTCGATCTCGTGCAGTGTTTAGATAGGGCGGAGAAGAATTTAACAGTAGTTAACAAAGTACTCCTTTTGCAGGGTAGCGAGACCCCACTTGGTTGGGGGTTGATGGTTACATATGAAAGTAAGGAGTCTGCAATAGGCCTGTTGGCCTGTGCATGGCAGCTCCTGTCTAGAGTTACAACCACTTTCTATCGTCCATGATTCTATCTAGCCTCCCCTTAAAACTTTCCAGCATTCCAGCACTTACTACAAAATTGCTAAGCTTGTCCCACTCGTCTACCACCCTATTTATGAACCAGTTCCTTCCTATCTCCCTCGTAAACCTAAACTTATCCAACTGAAATCCGATGCTTCGAGTCCTATCCTGCTCGGAGATTATAAGAACTTTATCTATATCTCCTTTATTGATTCCTTTCACCCACTTAAATACTTCTTCCAAATCTCCCCGCACTCTCTGTCTTTCTAGGGAATGCAAGTTTAATTTCTTTAATCTATCTTGATATGGAAGGTTTCTAAGTCCTGGAATCATTTTCGTCATTCTTCGCTGCACCGACTCCAGTGAATTGATATCCATTCTTTAATAAGGGCACCAGAACTGAACAGCACAATCGAGGTGCGGCCTGACCAGTGCAAGATATAGTTGCAATATGACCTCCGCACTCTTATTACTTACACTTTTAGATATAAACCTAATACTCTGTTTGCCTTATTTCGAACATTAACGCACTGTTTTCTAGGCCGTAGGTCCAGGCTTACAAGTACCCCCAAGTCTCTTTCACAAGTCGACTTCTCCAGATTGATGTTGTTAAGGCTGTATACATTGACAGTATTTGTTCTTCCAATATTAAGGAAGTTGCACTTGCTGGTGTTGAATTTCATTTGCCATTTTTCTGACCATTCCTGCAGTTTATTTAAATCCTCCTGTAGTGCATTTGCATCCTGCCCTGAATTAATCTGCCGCCCTATTTTGATGTCATCCGCAAACTTGCTTATGTCACTGCTGATCCCAGTATCTAGATCGTGTATGTAAATTATGAAGAAGAGTGGGCCCATTGCTGACCCCTGGGGAACCCCACTGGTTACACAGCCCCACGCAGATTTAACACCATCTACGCTGACCCTTTGTGTTCTATCGGTGAGCCATGATTTTATCCAATTTAAACCTTTCCCCTCGATACCATGAGCCTTAACTTTTCTCAGAAGTTTCTGATGCGGTACTCTGTCAAACGCTAAAGCCTAAGTAAATAACATCGTAATTTTCGTCATTATCTGCTACCTCGAAGACTTTCCTAAAATAACGTCAGCAGGTTGGTGGTGATGGTGGTTTGGAAGACATAGCTGGCTGCTCACGGGCTGGATACCCACCCGGTCGGCGTGCAGACAGGTGTCCCTATTTACCAAACTACCGTGACTGGCCGCAGAGCTCTGTTGTGGTCGATCTGGTTCTCCCCACCTAGGTTCATACAACACCACAAGAACCACCCACACATCTCCTCAGCCAGTCAGTGAAAACTCTTACTAACGGGAAAGTAGAACCCCTCCCTCAGCTGGGCAGGGTTCACCTGGTTGTACTCTTGAGCTGGCCTAAGTAGGCGGGCTGACGGTCGCTCTCTTCCTGTCCATGAAGTACTGGGAGTAAGCCAACTGAGTGCAGACCGAGTGAATGAAGAGTCACACGCTGGGACCGGGAGTTCTAGTGGTTACATAGACACATTCATCTCCCCAGTATTGGGTGTATGTGATTAAAATAGCCAAGTCCAGGTGTGTAATCAACGCTCCTCGTGGTTGATTGCACACGTGGGACGTAGGAGTCCCTCTTCAAGAAAATGGTTGATGCTGTAGCGCCTTAAAGTACGGGTGTATTCTGACTTACCATGATGTTTCATCTCATTAGGGGTTGATGCTGCTTTTGACCTTGACTGTACATGATATGATTTCCTGTGGTACTTCCGCTACACAGATTAGTTTAGTTCAGTTTAGTTTATGGTTTAGTTTATAGCTTAATTTAGGTTAGGTGAGGTTAGGTTAGGTTCGGTCAAATCAGATGACATGAGGGTGACTGACCTCGGCGTGGTCCCCTCGGTCGCAGGCGGCCTCGGGGGAGAGGTAGGGACCACACTTGCGCAGAAGTCGCTCATACAACTGCGGCGACACCTGCTTCAGCCCCTCCAGCAGCGCCGCCACTCCTGACACCGGTGGGGGCGTCTGTTGTAACAAGTAGTCCACCAGCTGCCCCAACACAACACGTTAATAATGTCGTGTGGTGGGGGTGTAAATTGCCTCATCGTCATCATACTGATAACCTCATAAGCATAAGTTATATATTTACAACTCAGTGACATATTAGTTTTATATCTTTTAAGTTTTAGTTGTTATTGTCTAGTGTATAAAGTGATTTGTACTAGATGTTGAAAAACCTTAGTTGTTGAAGCATATAAATACATTATAAGAAATACTGAAGGAACACATATTTGGCTGAAACGTGTATATAAAATCTTCATAATATAGAACCATACACAGAGATGTACATGTATATCTTATTCATACATGACTGTAAGTGTATACCGTGGTGCTGTATTTCTCCTCACCTCCTCATACACCATCTGGTTCTCCCGACGAAGGAAGAAGTCGTGAGGAAGGTTGTGTCGGGCATGGTGGCCGGGGTCCACTAGACTCCTCAACGCCAGGGTGAAAAGGAAGTCGTCCCCTAGCCTCATGGGGTCCTCGGGGTCTCGTGCCAGTTCCTGCACCATACATAATATATTTTAAGCTAATAAAGGATTCCCGGTTTGTCTTTTTCTTAACATTGAATAACAGAAGGTAACGAGACATCCCTAATACAATGTTGAGTAAGATTATCATCAACCATCACAGTGAATTGAATAGCAGAAGATGGTAAATTATCAAACCTTTGTTGGAGGTCACAGAAAAAAAAAATTCCCGCCAAAACAAAACAAACCTAAAGTGTGTTAACAGATTTTGTGTGTCTTCTTGGTCCTAGCTGTATGTAAACAAAATCTTCAAGTTCAATAGAAAGATGAAGAAATCAGCGTGAAATAGTCGTCAATAACCAAAGTATCGAGACAGTGATGACCCCGTGATGCCACCAGAGCATTATATAGAGGGTCATGGGTAACATAACTTAGCAAGAGGGAGGAAAGAGAAGGGGAGGGGAGGATCAACAGGAAGATGAGAAGAAGGGATGGAGAGAGGAGAGAGGAGGGAAAAATAGGCAGGAAAATGGTGAGAAGGGAGGGAGAGAAGGTGAAAGGAAGAAATGGAGAGGGGAAAAGGAAAGAAAGGAAAGAGGACAGGGAAGGGAGAGAATAAGGGAAAGGAAGGAGGGATAGATAGTAGACTACAAGACGAGGAGGAAGTACTCACAGCCAGCTGGGCGAAGAAGAAGTGTAAAGTGCGAGGACCTCCCACCACGGCCCACGCCACCGCCACCATCTTCCTGCAGCGGGGAGATCATTATTATAATACTGTATTAATATACGACTTTATGCTTACAAGTATTTTCCTACTGTAGGTGACGAATGAAACACACACACACACACACACACACACCGGCTCCTACTACCACCTGAGATCCCTAGCCCGAGAATTGCTGTTCGACACCACAACCGCATCCAGCTCATGCGTGCACGAACTGATCGCTATAAGAACAGCCCAGTCCCAACCATTGTAAAAATTATCAATAACTTGTAATAAACCAGTGTATTCACTCCCAGTAAATACTACTTCTTGCACTGTCACTATGTTGAAATGCACTGTGGTTGAGCTTTTTCCCCATCTAGTTATTGCCTATCTTATTTGTATCACTTATGTTACTTGTATATTATTTGTAATTCGTAACCCATTCCCCAAATATGTAACTGTATATTTTCAGCCTTCTGGCTGCCAAGCTCTTTCAATAAACTGTTAATTATTATTATTATTATTATTATTATTATTATTATTATTATTATTATTATTATTATTATTATTATTATTATTATTATTATTATTATTATTATTCTCTATTCATTCACTATCATTCAATCATTCTCATTGCTGCAATATATGTATTGTTACCTCAAATGTCCACACTTTTTATCCCAGTCACTTCACACACGCGATCATCACCCATACGTTCTTCCTCCCAAAATCACTCGACTTCTTCCCCGTTCGGTCACGCCCACTGCTGCTCCCTGGAGGTCCACCCACCCACCTGACTTATAGATTCCCAGTGTGTCCTTCACCCCGTCCTTCTAACTAACACCATGGTCTTTAAATCTTCCTCTGTCTCTGAATTACTCACTCATTCTAGCCATCTTTTTTTCCCGCTCCATTACCAAAGTCTTGATAGCATTATTATTGTATCTCCCAAGTAAGGACAGTACAAGCTTCTTATTTCAGGTGACGATCATTTGATTACGCAGTGATTAAGAGAATTACAGATCAAACAAGCCCCTCAGGAATCCTATGTAACTACCTTCAAAACAGGACAGCACAGCTACAAATTGGCAACCATTTAGGTCCACCCTTCGACCTAGAAAGCGGAGTTCCCCAGGGAGACGTCCTATCCCCAACACTATTCTCCATATATACAGCAACTTACCTAAACCAACGCAACATAGCGAACACATTATCTTTGCCGATGACATCACACAAATCATATCATATCCCCGAAAATCAGAAGCAACGATGGCACGCCATACAGCCTTAGTAATAAAAAACATAAATGACTACGAAAAGAAATGGAAAATACGGACAAACATCAACAAATTTAAAATTATACCAATTGCCAAGAAAAAGGTCGAACCAGTAATAGTAGATGAAGAAATTTACCCATACACCAACGAAGGCAGCATCCTGGGACTG